GAACGCTCCCCTGGGGGGCCCCGGCGAGCCCCAAAGAGGGGGCCCAGCAGCTCCAAGGACCCTTCCCAGCCCCCCAGGAAGCCACCCTGTCATCAGTGCCCCTGGGAGGCTGCTTCAGGGGCCAGCTGAACCGGGACCGGGCCACAGTTGAGGCACACCCCAGCCCCTTGTAGTCCTGGCCCCCCAGATCTAACCACCGTATAATAAAAGAAAATGAAAGCAGGAAAACTGCAGAGAAGGTCTCAGTATTACTTTCTAGCCCTGTGCTTTTGCAGGGTCTTCGTGCACGTATTTTCATTTACTGAGGATTGTGTCAGTGTGCAGAACAGGCAAAAAAGTAGAAAATCTCCATATCATTAATGTCTCATACTGTATTTAGGTCTTTGCCTGGCTGATGAATCAACTGGAATGGGGAGTTGCAAGAGCTGTCACAGGTGAGCTAGGATGTGCACAATACTCTGCAGTGCAGAGCTAGCAGCAGTGGGCAAGTGTGTAAGAGGGTATTTAGGGCAGTTCCCCTTTTCTGCTGGAAGTGACAGCTGGAAGGAGCCCATCTAAGAAGTCAGGAGCTTTCTAGTTTCACATTTGCCAGCTTCTGCACTATTGAATCTCCCCAGCCACTTCTCTCGGGATAAATTGAAGATGCACGGCAGAGTGAGCATGCCACAGGTGCTTGCTGCAAGTTGCGCTGGCAGTTGGGAGTGAGCAGAGAGGGACACAAACTCAATTTGCTGGGAAGCAGCTCTAGAGGCACTCGAGTGCAAACACTGGAAGCGCTGCAGATGTTCTGTCTCGAGTTAGGTACAATCTGTGGGGATGTGGAAAACATCTTCCAGGCTGCACGCTCCCCCTACTTGCTGTGCGCACACAGCTGCGTGTGGGGTTGCTCGCATTTGCTTTCGATCAAGCAAAGGTTCAGAATGCTCAGGAATGTGAGTCCCAAGCAAAGCAACCAGCCCCTTTGTGCTTGGATTTACTGACCCAGCACTGAGCTGATTTAGCTTCTGGGCACTGGAGAATCACACTGGCAAATGCAATTCTCTCTCCTGGTGGGAAGCTGATTTGATGCCTTATTACTGTAACAGCCAAATCCATCAGTTATTGTAGGCTGTCTCCAAGACTTCATCTTCTTTCACCCTCTGCTCTGGAAGGAATAGTGAGTCTATTTTCACGATGCTCACAGAAAAGTGCTTGGGATTTGTTTATTGTGGACTATGTCTCTGGGCATCCTTGTTCCTGTCTTTCTTTAAAGGTAAGATCATCTGTGGTTGTCATGTTTCGGGGTTTTTTTGTGTTTTTCTTTTCTTTATTCTAAACGCTAGTCACATCCTTCCCCAACTCTATTTTCAGAAAGACTTGTATCTGCTTGTAGTTTAAACTTTGTCAAGGTCCAGTTCTGGTCCCGCTCTGTTTTGTAATCAGTTCTAATAAGTTTGTGGATCTTACAGTGCTGTGCACCTTCATTTAAGAGAGGAAAAGGTGTAGTGTTTTTTAATGAAAAGTGTGTTATTTTAACTTTCAGAATTGAATTGAAATTATTGTATTTGGAAAGTAATATGTTCTTGCTCTCCTTTAAAAATTTAGCCTATCAGTATTTTTTTGGGAATGAGAAATTACATATCCAGGCTGGACAGAATGGCTGTGAGAAGCCTGTAGGTGTGAGGGTGAAATAATATTGTTCTACAAAGAAAAATGACTGGAAGAAAATTCTTAACTGTTACTTTGTATGTATCATTTGGGAAGATTCATAGTTGCATTAATACCTAAATTTATAATTCTGGGGTTTTTTCTCTTCTAACTTTTTGTATGTTTAGTAAGAGTCCTTTCAGGCAGTGATGAGTAAAGCTGGAAATATCTAATAAAAATAATAATGGGGTTCTGTAGTCTAAGGTGTCACCTGTGACCAAGCTATCTTCTGAAGTTTCACCATGTTACAAACAAAAGTAGGAACTGTGTGATGCTTTCAAAACATGGAAGATTCCAAGGCTAACAATAAAAAACTTTTAAATGAGAAGGGAGGTAGAAATAACCACAGACCTGAAAGATGTTTAGGGTTCTACAAAAAATGTGCTTTCCTTGCTCCTTAACAGCTTGTTACATGAAACATGCATGCCTGCAGCAACTATAAATTTTAAAACTGAGTATTCCAGGTGTGAGGGACTATGTCATGTTACCCATGATTTATGTATAGAGAAAGGAGGGTTGTCTTTTCAAAGCAGAGAAAGCGGACCACGTATTTCAGAAGCGCAGAGCCACAGGAAACTTTTGTATATGTGAAGACGTACTGGACTATTCATGCAATGTAGGGAATTATTTATTTGCTTACCTGAATCTGCAAAGCATCCATGCATTTCATTATTACAGCTCCACATTTCAGCTGCGTAATGTAGCAATGGCATTGCAGAAAAATATTTCCCCATCTTGCTAAATTAAGGACCTTGCTATCTTTGTTTGTAGGACATTTCTGTGCTACTTCAGGAGCTGAACTAGCAGCCAGGTGGTGGCAGCTAGTTGTGATATAACTCACTTTGTGTGCAGTCCCATTTTGAGTAGTTTTGTATCATGTAAATTCTCCCCTTTAAATACTGAATAATCACTAATTCATCAAGGGGGATGCTTAGTTTCTCTGAGCGGCACATGAAGACACAAACTGCTTTTATAAATAATTCAGAGAATTTTTTCTTAGGTGCTCAACCAGCAGTTTATAAATATTCACTTTTACAGACAACTGCTAAGTTAGAATAAAACAAACCTCTTATTAATGTGGTGTGTATTTGACTTCTGCTTTGTGGATATTTTTTTTCTTTTTAAAGAACAGGGAAATAAAAAAGGAAAAGCATCTTATCAGTAGTAGAGTCTTCTAACAGTAAGCTCCAAACGAACTCCCCCAGGATTCTTCAGTGCACTCACATGGAAGTCACATTAAGTCCATCATAACTAACATCATTCTTACATAGTGCTGACTTGTTTCAACAGAATTCATAACACTTCCTCAAATACTGAAAACTCCTGCAAGGCTGTTTGACAGGAAAGTTATTAAAAGGACTAGGTAAAAAACAAAACAAAACAAACATGAAGATGTCGATTACTTTTTCCAGTCCTTTCCACAAATTTTTGGTTCGGCTCGACCCTACTTGCACTACTGCTAGCAGCCCTGGCAGACATGTCATTCATGTTAGGTCATTGACGCCCTCCTTCCTGAAGACTCTGGAGCTAGTGATGCTTTCTGGGACATGGACCCTAGGTAGAATCAGGAAACTGGTCCTCAGCGCCCCTGGATCCCAGATGACGTCTCTCAGAGCCAGACCTCCCTTCCAGACCAGCTGCAATCCTTGAAAAAGCATCCAGAGGATGAAAGGATTGTGTAAGTCCCAGCAGCTACATAACAACCTCAGGTGGAGGGACTTGAAAACCCTGCTCCAGGGAGAGATTGGAAGGGAGGGATCACACTCAGTTCTGCTGCTTTCTCTAAGCATGGTGCAGACAACCCTGCAATGGAATTGTCCTCCTGAGAAACATGTTCCAGCGATCACATGGTCACCTAGCCTCTCTGAGGAGCATTACCTTCAGCTCAGCGCACAGGCACCTGCTGGGTTTTAACATCCAGGGAAGTTAAACATGCATTTTTCTAGTCTCCAGTCACCCCTTGCATTCTAATTACTGTGCTTTTATGTCCTTTTCTTTAAGTGGGGCCACTGGCATGCCACACATGCCACACAGAGCCGAGTCAGGCATCTTAGTTTCTTTGCTCTGTGCAGCCTGACATCAGCACTGTACTCTGGTCATGTGGCTTTGAAAACCCCAACAAAGACAAAGGCAAGCTGAGAACAGAGCCCCTCCTCTGCAGTCTGGTGGGAATGTAAGCACTCAGCAGTACAGGACAAATTCTGTGGCAGGGGATGCTGCAGGTCAGCTAATCAGCTAAAAGCTGTAAATTGTGAAGTAACTCAGCCTGACTTGGTGTACCCAGCCAGTGCAAAACTGCTTTTCTTTGGCTCACACACAATACGTATTTAAATTCCTGTGCTACACTGATTTCATGCTTTCTGACATCTTTGCTGGTTTAGATGAGCTCTGCTGATCACATCAGAATACAACTGGTGATCTCTAGAAGCAAATCCTCACAAGGATACTGTTCTTGGTTCACTTCCGTGCAAGAAGGTGCTGTTTCTGCAGCAGCAGTAGCATTGGCAAGACAATCTCAAAAGGGCAGATTCTGCTGCCAAGCTACAGTTTCTCTAATGTGAGCTAGTTAGACTTGCAGTGACATGAGTTTAGAGACCTATCTAGCAGGAACAACCAAGGCTGGTACTTAAATACCTATGTATGGAGTATAAACTTCAGGCCTCAGCTGGGTAATACTGATGGAAATGCAGTGAGCTGTGTTAATCAAACTTCTTTACTCCAAAGAGACATTCTTAAACAGATGTGAGAAGTCCTGTGCCTTAACAGAGTACAATGTAATGTCATTGGTAATTTAGGTGGTTGGTGAAGGAGCTCCACCTTTAGATCTCATGAAAGTTACCAGATTAGAACCAGGTGTTGCAGGCAGATCATTTAGAATCTTTCATACTCTTAATTTAAGGTCTGAAGGTCTCACCCACTTCGGTTCCCCACATTCTCTGTGTTGATTCTCTGAGTTGTATGACCCCACTGAGTGATACACGGTTTCAAAGACCACAATGCAGCTGTGGCAAGTTTAAAATACAAAAGGTATGAGGAAGACCATTGCTTGTACAAGTAGGTCTTTTCTTCCATATTGGCTAAAAAGATGCCACACATACAACCTGCAGAGATGGGAAATCACTGCCAAACCCCTGCCATTACGTCTGGGAGCACAGACACCAGAGTCTGGTCACTCTTGATGCTGAAAGCATGCTAAGGCATCACAAATGCATGGAGTCAGACAGGAATGAATGCACTTGTCACAGTATTTGTTTGTTTATAGGTGTCACTCTGCTCTGTGATCAAGAACACCAGTGCAGAAACATGTATCGGCATTTAAAACTGGCAAGCAGAGTCCTAGGCAAATCTCTGAGATGGTTTCCTGTGAGTTACTGTCTGCTGCAGTAACTTGCTGTACATGCTTGCCTCTTGGGATTGACTTTTCAGTTCAGTGAACCAGACTTCATGTTCAGTATCTTCTATGTGCATTCACTTGCGCGGCTTTAAAGCTGCTCTGTATTATCATAGGCACAGCTGCAACTGTGGAGCTGGCCCAAGCTTGTGAGTTGTTGCCAGGCTCCAGGAATGTTTGAGGTATTTCCATGCACATCTGCTGATAGTGATCAGGGCTAAATCTTGTGTTAACTCTCCTCAAATCTCACTAGAAAAAGTGGGAAGGTTCAGAAAAAGCACCTGGTCCCTGACATCACCAGAACCTTTTGTTATATGCACCTGCTGGTATCGCACTCTGTTAGCAGCAGATGTAGTGTGTAAGAAAGTAGCATCCATCTGGCCTTTGTGGTGATGGCAGATGGTGCCTTGGAAGCCTTCAGCCTTGCTCCAGTACAGGGGGCCTTGTGATGGTCTCGGAGCAGAAGTTCCCATTCTAGACACATGATGCATGTCCTAAAGACGGTTCCTTTTTTCTCCCTTTGGTTTCTTCTCCTCAGACATGTGGAGGAGAACATGAGTTAGTGATGGCAGTAACATCCTGAACAAAGGGTTAGTGCAGAATTTCATTCACGTGTCACAAGCAAGGAGGGAGATATAGTCTCTCCAGCTCTAGGATGTGATTAAAGTCAATCATATCCCCTTGCATCACTACTGACATGGTTGTTTGAGGGTGCCTACTGCCTAGAGATCCTGCACATTCTAATTAAGGAAGAGACCAAATCTGCCTGAGACAGGTAGGGCTAGCACTGACGATCAGTAGAATCCACGGGACTTAAAAAGGTAAACAGAAGTTTATCACTGGTTTGGGACACACTTCTGAGCAAATATGGCTTGAAGAAAGAGTTTTGCTTATCAAGTACTTTCTGCATTGAGCAAAGCAGCTGATAACAAGGTTGGGGCCAGAATCAGATGGTACGGTTGGAAATAACTGTCTTCTAACCTGCTCACCTGGGACTCGCAATTAAGTCAGTAAATGGCAATGGAAAGAGAACTTGTAGTCAGCATGAGTACTTATGCATGCCAACAGTGAGGTGCAGGTGACTCTGTCCTGCCTCGCTGTCAATTGACTTTGCTAACTCTGTGTCATGCAGTGGGTCTCACTGATGTTGAATATAGGTTGGCTGTAGAGGAGGG